AGGCGAGGGGAGGGGGGGGGGGGGGGGGGGCGGTCTGGGAAACGGCACAGGAGCGCACACAAAAGACAGGCAGAGGCCCTGCGCCCCGGTTCTACTCCAGCACAGCAAGGAGCCAGCCTCTCCCCTCAACATCACCCGCTCTGGTCAGCAGCACTGCAGCGTGGGGCTGGAGGAAGGAGGCCCATACGCAGGCAGAGGGCCCGATTCCGACCTCAGCCCTTTCAGCCTGTGGCGGCACACGCTCCCTCCTCCCTGCCCCAGACACACACCCTACCCGCCCAGGGGGCCAATTAAGCTAACAGCACAAACCTCCCTCGCTGCTCTCCAGTTTCAAGAGCTGCACAGGAATTAGGAACAAGCGCCACCAGACCCTCCCTGAGCCAGTTAGCTGCTGTCTGAAAGCTGCTTCCCCGAAGGAGAAAGCCAGAAAATGGAAGAGCCTAGCGAAAGCTGTCACAGCCAGCCAGGACACAAACCTCAAGCAGAGGCAAAACTCAGATCTGCCTCCAGATGGGGCTAGGCCAGGGGCTGCTCCCAAGCGGCCTGACCCAGGGCACTACCGGCACAGGACACAGCTTCTGGGTGTAATGTACAGTGGGGCACAGCCGTCCACCCGGAGCACCAGGGCAGCCTGCAGAGACCAGCCCCACGCAAGGCCCCAGCAAGCTAAGCGCCCAGCGCTGGCTGAGCAATTCTCTCATCTCCTCACTGCGCTTAGCCCTTCTACCTGCTCCGGCACCACGCGGTAACTGGCCCCTTCTCCAAGCAGGCAGGCAGACTGGCATCCGAGAAGCTCCCCCCAGGCCTGCCGAGCCAGGGCCCAGCCGGTTTCAAGTCAGCGCTGGGCTGACTAGAATCAGTTTCTGGCTCGCCATAAGATGCTTAGACCCCTACATCTTACTGCCTTTACGAAGAGCTAACTGAAGAGAGTCAAGGAGCGATGGAAAACTCTTATCAGCTCCCATGGGTAACGACTCAGGAAAGACGACTTGCTTGGTGTGGGGGGCAGGGGAACAAACAAAACGTGAGGCGCCCCGAAGAATCCGATGGGAAATGCAGGGCTCCCCATGCCATTCGGGAACTCAGCGCGGCTGTCCTGGCTAGGGTATCGTGCGCAGCTCGTCCGCCAGAAGGGACACGGCACAGTCGGGGGGAGTGGGGGCTGAAGAGACGAGAGGAAATGACCCAGGTGTATAAAATAACAAAGGGGGCGAGGGATAAGTGGACGCCCCCACTTACGCTCTCAAACACAAAGCCAGGCCCACTGGCACCGGCAAGCCAGAGAATTGCTGAAAGGACGGGTGTGACACTCCTGCAGAACTCGCCATCACAAAGTACCCGAGAGGCCAGGAGCTAGCAGGGTTACGCCCGGGGGTGCGACCACTCTTGGCTGGACTGGAGGGGCAGCCCAGCGTCTGTCTCCATTGTAGCCATCTCAAGGGCTGGCTAAAACCCACTGGCTTAGGGTATGTCTACACTACAAAGTTAATTCGAACTAACAGACATTAGTTCGAATTAACTTTAATAGGCGCTACACTAGCGCTCCGCTAGTTCGAACTTATTTCGAACTGGCGGTGCGCTTAATTCGAACTAGGTAAACCTCATTTTACGAGGACTAATGCCTAGTTCGAATTAGCTAGTTCGAATTAAGGGCTGTGTAGCCACTTAATTCGAACTAGTGGGAGGCTAGCCCTCCCCAGCTTGCCCTGGTGGCCACTCTGGGCACCACCAGG